TCCTTTGTTCGAGTTTTGTTCAAGTTGGAGAAAAGCTTCAAAAATCTTTAAAGAAAGAGGAAAGGCTGCGTACTTTGGTCACATCAGCCATGGTACCCCATTTTCCACACTAACGCCTAAATAGCTACCCCCTTCGTAGTTGACTGAGTAAACACCACCTTCGTACCTGTATGTAATATCATCATTACAAGAATATTTTCCCCCACATCATACACGCCTCCTGCAACACTACCATAGAGGTGAGAAGATATTTCACCTCCATGATATCCATAACTCCCTTCACCTGCACCTATTAAAGCCCATAGGCGTTGGCCCATGCACATCTGGCCCATGCAGAAGTGGACGTGTACAGGGCTCGGGGAGATTAGGGTTTCTTTTCCCTTTCTTACTGGTTCGGCCAGTTGTGGCGGTATATATAACTAAGTAATCTGATCAGTAGCTCGGAGGGTCTTGAGGCTCTCCCGTGGATTAGTCCTGAACACTCAGGGATACCACGTAAATCTTGTTTGTCTCTCCGTTATTTGATTTCATTCAATATGTATAACATGGTATCAGAGCCATCATCCGGCGATTCTGGTCGCCTAAGTGTTCTTCTTGATCCCAAGAACTATGCTGTTTGGGAATTCCAGATTCGGGTATTCGTTGAAGGCAAGGGTTTCTTACCGATCCTTGATGGGACGCTGAAGAAGCCAGTGGTACCAGCTATTACCACGCAGGAGTTGGAGCGCTGGACGATGAACAATGCACGGGTGAAGACGTGGATCTTGGGATCGGTGGACCCGTCCATTTTTTTTGGGGTTGAGATTGTTTTCCACTAACTTTGAGATGTGGTCACTATGCTTTTCAAAGGTAGAGGTAAAGAGTTCTAAAAATACTAACTATACATATCAACTAACTCATTTAGAAGGGTCATTATGCTTTTTCATACACCAGCATCCTCCATAGGTTCTATACTAGCCTCCCTAAGTCACATATGAACACAATGACAAGCAATTCAAAGCAAGTCGAGAACAAATATGCATAGGAGAGTGGGACACTATTAAAAAAATGGAAAATAGCACAATTGCATGGATAATAGTGTTCCCAAGTATATAGTAATTTAATCAACATAGTAAATATATAAGCATGCAATTCGATCTACTAAACGACACCTCACACTATAAATCAGACAATGTCCTCCAAACAAAGGAGTAGTGGAAAACATAATGAAGTCACGCCTCAATAGTCATTGTAACTCATGCATACTTGGTTAGTTCGTTGTTTGATTATTGATACAAAAAACAAAACAAACGAAAATGGAGAGAGAAAAAAATATGCTTCAACTCCTTTACATAAATCAAAGAAAAAACACATCACCATTTAATCAAATCTCCTTGCTTAGGAGTAGTTGTCGTTATCATCACCACTAAGCCTGGTCTGGCTATTGGGGAGATTGTGGCTGCCGTCGGCCTACATAGGCATCCTTATGCAAATTTAGTATATTGCAAAGTAATAAATCTTAGAAATGTCTAGGGTTGTATTCCATAGGACTTCTAACAGCATCTACTTTGAAATTGGCTTGACTCTAACTGCACATCCCAATCGAAGGCTAAGCATAACCAACGACTGGGTGTAGCATAAGACAAACAAGCAATAAAAATATCAAACCACGAGTCTCCTAAGTGTACCTTACTTCAGGTTAGGTTTCATTATCTAACCAACCTAGAATAGTGATTAAGAAACTAACCTATCTACACTAACCTAACCAGTACCCTAGCTAATTACAAGTGGTGGAGCTCTCTTAGCTTGAATCCCTCTAGTTCTATAATTTAAATCAGTTTTGAGTATTATCCTAGCTCGATCGACTCACTACCCTACCGTTATGATATCGACTCACTCAAGATTGACCCGGAACGACGAAGTGATGGATGGGTAGTGATCTATTCAACATAGAAAATCATATATTGTTAGGAGGTCGATCAAATCAAGTCCCTTGGGGATTACTCAGACAACATATGATAGAAGTGACTCGAAGATGTCAATAATGGGCTATAAGGGGATTATCTCCCTCTTAGGTCAAAAGCTCAATTAACATGAAGTGGAATCCAAAATCATGCAATTCATGAAAATCACCATCAAATAGAGAAAATCATCAATCAAACTTAGAATATGTCATATACATCAACTTCACACCAAAATATAGATTTAGAGTTCATCAACCTAAGAGAAAGAGGTCTAGTTCATAAAGAGAAGAGATATTACAAAAATAGCTTAAGATCTTAATCTTCTAGGCTTGATTCCTAGACTCCAAGATCAATCCAAGCCTCCAATTAAGCACCAAGATCACTCAACGTCACTCTCTCTCTCTCTCTCTCTCTAAAAACTCCTCTTTGGTGTTTTGGGTCGAAACCCTAGAGAGAGAACCAAGTTCTTCTCCAAAAACCAGCTCATTTTTTCTCTCTCTCACCTGTTGTCTTTTTATACGCCCGAAAGTGATAACTTCATGGTCATTGTTCATGAGGGTCATAATAGCAAACAAACAGTGATGTCGGCCAAAAGCGCACCATTTTGGGCTATTTTCGTGGTCACGTGGTGATTTTCATGGTCTTAGACCATGAAATTTGCATAGCCCGCGAGATGCACAATGGATGCTGGAATTTGCACACTTCATGGTCTGGGGGAGATTTTCACCCCCTCAGGGCGTGATAATTGCCTCATGCCCATGAACCTTTCACGGACTCCACTTTTTGAATCATTTTGACCTCCAAAATACCCGAAACACATCCCCGGACCTTCCCGCACATACTAAGACCTGACATGTGACAAAAGAAAAACAACCTTAGTGCAAAATAGGTCGAGGAACGATGATAATCAAGTCAAACAATCAAGATATGAGGGGGGGGGGGGGGTAAAACATGTGTAATTACGTCTGCATCATAAGATACCTACTTTTGTTTTAAGAAACAATGAAAAGTAAACAAGATAGGTTGAGGTTACCTTGATTGGCGAATTCTATGATTTGACAAAGCAAACAAGTAAATTAAGAAACAGGAAAATAAGCAAGTAAATGATCATTGTTTAGGTAGTTTCATCAAGATGATCATGCATACAAACTCTTTAATGGTAATGCATTCATGAATCCTTTCTATCGTGATGCCCCCATCTCATCCGCTAATGTATTACTAATCGACAAAGCCATGGAGGTGTTCCTTCTCCTCAGAGTTGGAGAGGGTAACGGGTTGCATTAGTGGCAGATAGTGCATATTCGTTACCATATCCAAAGTAGTTCGAGTTTTACCCATACTCATATCCACATAAGAAACAAGTAGAAAATCAAAACCATGCCCATACACGTTTGAGTTTCGGGTATTCACGGTTATCCGTGGGTAATAATTACTCTTTATAACTCCAACCAATATGCTAACATTCACACTTATTCTCATATTAATTAAGAGGAAAAGTACGACAATAATTCACTAGAATGAAGAAAATTAATTAAAACAAACAATTTCATGAAAATATTATATTTATATACTAAATATCAAATATGTTAGAGAAAAAATATGATTATTTCTAGACAAAATACATATAAATGTGTACAATCGCGAAGGTTCGGGTTGGATAGTGAGAAAATCATGCCTACCCATTGCCCACAATATTCGGGTTCGGTTTTACCTGTACCTACTAAAAGTACTTCGGATTCAGGTTTCACCCTACTCGATTAGATCAAATTCAGGCGGTTATCCACTGTTACAGATATTTTTGCCATCCCTACTCAGAGTCTACAACCAACTCTTCATTAGTTTAATCAAATCGACCACCCTAGAAGGGTGAGAGCAGTGATTGACTCTAGGCGTTCATAAGGTGATGTCCTCACCATCCATGTGCTTGGTGGAAGCAACAGGTTGATGTCTGCAGTTCTAGAGACATGAGCTCCATCGAAGAGAGGAGCTCTGCCACCCAAACTCGAGAGTAGCAACAACATACTCCACATCCATGGCCTTAGGATTGCTCACCTCGCCTTCCCCATAAAAGCAAGGATGAAAAAGCTCTATCATTTCTGTTAGACGTTTTTTCTTCTTCCTAAGTCGAATAACCTTTAAATCACTCATGCAAATGATCTCTAAATTTGTTATCACTCAATCTACTCTGGTGATGGCAGGCAGGGGGTAGTTCAATAGTCTATACCCATACCTGCCTCACACTACTTGCCTCACAATGTATTTTATATATTATTCGAAGAAAATGTTTAATTTTTAATGATAAAATGAAGAAAAATAGTTTGTTCATAAAATATAGAGATAATAGATTAATTAAATTACATTAGTTGAAAGATGAAGTCATGTACTTATTGAAAGTATCATTATGTAAAATATGAGTCGATGTAAGTGAAAATAGAAGAAATAAAAACATATATTGTAACAAATCAAGATACAAAAGGTAAAAAAATGAAACGGAGCAGGGAAGAGTGAAAATAGTACCCATATCCGACCCACGAAATTGGAAATCAAGTACTATATGCTCCAACATAAATTAAATAAGATAACACCAATGATTTTAAGACCGTACTGAAGGTTGTATAAAAAAAAGTCAGCGATAAAATATTTTATAATAAAATTGTGATTTAACTATTTCACATCGCTAAATACCACCTACTAATTTAATATTCGAATAGAATTTTTTCCCATCAATCACTAATAAGGTAAGATTGTTCATTCTTGCATAATACCCAAGAGAAAAGAGTTCAAATTGCCATTAATAACAATCTCCTCCCGTAGTTAAGCGCCAGCTATATTCAGTTTTCGGACAACGATAGCCCATATTTTCTAATGGGCTGCTGCATCTACAAGTCCAATTAAGATTAGGGTGACACAAGATGGACGAATCGGGCCCTACACGTGTCCGTGAAGCCGGGAATGAAGCTTGGCCTCGCAAGTTGGGTACTTGGTAGGGCACAGCGACGGGGAGGGCTTTGGGGCGGAAACTCATAGAGAGAAAGGGTAAAAAGGAAAATCAAACAAGAAACGGATGAACGGTAAATATAATAAAAATAAAGTAAAATATACATAAAAGAATAAACGGGATTCGTTTGATTTAAAAAAAAAAAAAAAAAAAACGAGAAAAGGAGAAGACGGTGCGGGAGAGAAATGGATTGGGGTGCGCAGTACTCGTCGAGGCGCACGTTAGAGGTCATCCTCTATATCTCTGGGTCCTTCCGTTTCCGCTTCTTTATCCCTGAAAACCTAGACGCACGAACCTCCCCCTACCTGTTGTTTCGCTCGCATTCTCCTCCTCCCCCGCGTAGATCTGAAGCCACATCCACTCGCCTCCTCTCTGTCTTTCGCTGCGTTTTCGGTTTTGACGAAGATCGGCCTCCGAGGGTTTCTTCTGTGGAAACCGCTCTTTTCCCCATCGGATCTCCTTGATTTTCAGAAGAATTTTGAGGTAATTGATTGTTTTTGCTGTTGGGTTTTTTTTAATTTTGAAGCGATTCGATGTCTGGTTTTGCCGGTCGCGGCTGCTTTTCATCTGGTTTGTTGGGTAGATGGATTCACTACCTCGCATCGGCATTAGGTTTTCTGCGCATGAGGTTTCAGATAAATTGACGATTTTTAGCTTGTGCATCAATCAATTTCATTTTTTGTTCTACAAAATATCATGTTTCCCTCCGTGGTGAATCAATCAGTTTGCGGTTATGATTGAATTTTCCCTCAATGCTAAAGATGAGAGCTTTGGACGCCATTCTTTCTTGTGCCAAAATCGTCCGTCTCGACATCAGAAGCTGAAAGGAGTTTACTTTTTTCTTTTTTTTTTTGTTCCAGATTTAATAACCATCCAGAAGTTGAATTTCTTGATTTTGTGGATAGCGGGTATCAGCTGAGTAGCTGCAATGCCGGCCCATGTTGATGTAAGCATATTACCTTCTTATGTTGATGAGGTTCTGCTACTTTGATGTTATCGTTGTTCCTCAATGGGGATAATATTTCTGTAGAAATATGAAGCATATGATGACTATGCGGATGAACTGGAAGAGGATGAAGAGGAGGAGGAGGAATATGAGCAAGAAGAAGAAACGAAACCTTCTGCTGAAGAACTGGAATATCTTAATTACAGAGAGCTGAAGAAGGCACAAATTAGGAAGAAGATGCAGAAGGAATATGGGGCAGCTGCTGCTGGGTCCCAAGATAATAAGAGAAAACCTTATCTTGAAAGGTCTGTTATGGGCTTTGATCCTCCTTCATTACTGGGTGACTCCCGTTCATCCTTCTGGTTTATATATCTTGGAAGATATAAAGTCTGGAATAATATTTGTGGCTGTTAAATAATGTCCATGCACTGTCATTGACGGTTGATAATTTGTTAATTCTGTCTCTCTCTGCAGTTTTGGTTCATTTTTCGGCCCCTCTCAGCCAGTTATCGCCCAGAGAGTTATCCAGGAAAGCAAGTCGTTGCTGGAGAACCCACACTTGGCAATGAAAGTTATCAACTCACAGCGTAATGTACGTGTTATGCCTGCTTATTCTTCTTAGGATATGAATGTATGGCCCATTCATAAGTTTCTTGTGAATGCAGGAAATTAGCTTAATATTCTTCTTAGGATATTGCTCATGTGGCTGACAGGTTTGGCTAGAATGACTTAGACTTTTGGGTCGATGCTGGTGTTTAGTCTCGAGAATCTACCATGAAAAGTACATGTGCAAATTTTAGATCTTGAGGTTGTGCTTTAGTAGAGTAAGGTATATGAGAGTGATTAACCTGAAATGATGAACTCATTTATTAATTATAATTAGAGATCTTGCGTATTTACATGGAAAATTCATGATTTCTCTGGTCAATTGGTTTTCCGTTGAGTGTTTCGAGTTGTTTGCTCTCTCCTTCATATGTGGTCCTTGCCCTGAGGATATATGTTGCTCTTTTGGTCGCTATTGATTAGCATATCCTTGATGTCACATAATCTTGGTTACTGCTTCAGGAGAAACGGAGTTCATCCACAGCCACGGCTTCAACGAATGGCGTAACTGAGAGGATGTCGAAAATGAAAATTGAGGTACTAATCACTGAATGGTTGGGGGATAAACCATAGGGAAAGAAAGGGAAGAGGCTCACATTAATATTCTCCTGTAATAATACAATTTCTGTTCTCCTTCAATTCAGCAACAAACAAAAGCCCAGAAACTCAAGGATACAAGGGATTACTCGTTTCTGTTATCCGATGATGCAGCTGTCCCAGTTCCCGCAAAAGATCCTGCTGTGCGAAGAGTGTCTGTTTCTCAGTCTGGTGTGTTTCTGCCCTGTTGCATAGGTCTCATTTGGGGTTCAGTGCTTTCTATTTTTATTGAGAGTAACTTATACAGGTTTTTTGCTGATAAGAGGCACGATCTGCTCAAGTGCAACAGAAGAGCAACCAGCCTATGGGCAATGGTTACAGGCATGTTAATGGTGCTCGTGAACAGCAGAGGGGATCAGTTCATGGGAATGGCCAACCACAATTTGGAGCAGGGTCTCGCAAGGCTATTTCAACCTCAGGAGCTAGGCCAAATGCATCACCAGTAGATTCTAGGAGGCAGCTTGCTAAAAACAATGGTATTGGACCGGGACGGCCATCGACAGGTACAATGAAAGGGCCGTCTCCAAAGATTGCTGCTGGTCATGTGGAGAAGAAGACTCCTTTGCCAGCTTCCAAGACCATACTACCCCCAACTCGCAAGCCTCTCCCTTCAAAAATGCAGTCAGGCATTCAACGGCCTCAGTTGGGAACCAGGAGAGTAGTGCAAGAACCTAATAGACATCCTGAGTACAGAAGGATAGTGCAGGATCCAAGTAGGCAGTTAGAGAACAGAAAAGCAGCACAAGAACCCAGTAGATCTAAAACGATGTCAAATCAACAGCCACATTCTAGACCTCAGGTTTGGATGCTGTTCTTTCACCTTTTCCATTGAAATTAGCTCTGGCAGCGTGAAAATTCTTGAAGGGTTTGTATAATTTATTAGTATTGATGACCTCTACAGATGAATAAGCCACCTGTCAGACCAACCTCATCCTACCCTTTAGCACAACAGAGTAGTGTGATTAAAAGGCCTGTTCCACGGCGTCCTGATGATGACCACATTGACCGGTACAGTAAGCCTGTCAAAAGAATTATCTCACATGATGTTCGACCTAAGAAAAAGCATTCTGAGGATGAAGATGCTTTTGCTGAGCTCAGACAGATGTTAGGGTAAAGCCACTCATCCTTCATCTTCTTACTTTTTTGTTATGTAATGTTGTTTAGCAGTTGAATTTGTGCCTAATGATTTTCTCAGTGGTCACGCATTTTCTATTTCTTTGTGTTGCTTCTTGTTCTATGTTGATTGCGCCTATGGTCATGGTTAGACAAGTGACGTGTGAGTTGCTCTGTTACTGAGCAAAGGTTTTTTCGGAGGGGCAATGCATTTAGAGAATGTTTTTGGTTCAAGGGCTATTGTATGTATATTAGTAGTGCTGTGAGTCTGTGCTGTCATTGCTTTCGGTCGTTGGTGATGTGCAGACTTGTTGGGTCGTCCCTGGTCAGTTTTAGGGAGTTAATCGATACTCTCTTTTACCCCGTCAACCTTTCTCGACGCAATGCTAAATCCCTCGTGGAATGGTTTCTCAGGAGGCCAAAGTATGCCGAGTATGAAGATGATGATGTTAGTGACATGGAGGCCAACTTTGATGACATAATGGAGGAAGAGATGAGAAGGTTAGTCTTATGGACCCCTTCCTCAATGGTGTCGTTTTGTTTTTCTTTCTGGTGTTGGTTCGCTCAATTTATGGCTTTATGGCCCTTTTTAATATTATTGGCTGCGGTTGTTTTGTGTCTTGTTTTGGCGTGATGGATGATTATGCAGTGAGAGAATAGCGAAGCAGGAGGATGAAGAAGAACTGAAGCTGATAGAGGAAGAGGAGAGGCGAGAGAGAATGCGAAGAATGGCTAAGAAGCGCAAGTTAAGTCGTTAGTGCCCCGTTAGTTTTAGTTTCCTTGTACAACAGCAGAGTTACCCTGTCCGCAGCCCTGGTTTGCTGTCCTCAAAAGGCAGGAGGAAAATGAAGAACAAAAGAAGTCGGGACTCATGTAGTTTGAATTGGGTCCTCATTGGCGTTCGATTTCAGTTCAGATTTCCTTAGGGTGTTGTGTAATCACAATTTTTTTAGATGTAATCTTATGGCTAAATAAAATATTGGGTTCTCCTATGAGTGGTTGGTTCTTGAGTCGCCGTTTTCTCTTGAGAAGAAAGACTGCATTGAACTGGATTGGACCGTAGGGTTGGGTAATTTTGGATTGGGAATCTCGGGTTGCAGATCATCATGGATAAGGTCATGTTGAGTTGACTGATATTTGGTTAATATAAGATCCATCGAGAGAGAGTCTCGTGTTATTTTGGGTTATGAGCGTTCTTAAAATAATAAACATATAAACATGTTTCATAAAATTTTAAAGAATGTAAACATTCACATATGTATAAAACTAGTTTACCTATCACACGTAAACTAACACTGCTGAAATCTTTCCATGTTAATGAAAAGAAATATAAGTTGCACATATCTTCAAATAACAATCAAGAAAGTAATACTACTACAAGAAACAAATGAATTTTTTTAAACATTTCACCAATTTATAACTGATTTTATCATTTCAACAATGACATGAAATGAAACGGATTTAGCGGATCGACCAGCTAATCCACCAAACCCGACCCAAAAACTCTTGGTTAATTGGGTTTGGGTCCTTCGGTTTTGGATTATAAAAATTTTCAACCTATTTTTCATTTTTAGAGCAGGTTCGGGTCAGATCAACAAATCGGGTCGTGATTTGGCAGGTGTAACCTGGATTCTTTTATTCATACTATATGTTTGGCAAAGTGAGAGCGGGAATTTATTCAATTTCAACTTTCAAGGTAAGTATACATCATAGCTACACTTGCTTGCGGGCGAACATGATACATCGCTAACTAAATTTTATGGCCTGTCCATTAGACATCTTGAACTAATGTTAGATAAGAGTTTAGAAAAGTCAAGATGATGGGAAGTTTCATTTTTAATGTAGGTTTATGAAAACTAGACCTATGAATCAACTTCACAACCATTCAGTACTTAGTGAATTACATTTTTATATAACAACCAATACATCATTTTATGTCAAAATACTCGAATCCTAATAAAGGAATATAGAATATTGGCTAATTTTCTCATAGACATAAATCATATATAATGAGTAATAATCTTGATGACTTGATTAAATTATGATAGTTAATTTGATTTTCTTATATGGTGTCACTATGAATTCTTGGTGCATATAAACATAATAACACTCAAACAGTATAACATTATGCTTATGAAATTGTTATATACATTTTGCTTTCAATACGTCCAAATGAATATTTTATAGAAAGCCGACAAGGAATTCTTATAATAACCGGCCGTTTTGATTCTTTGGAACAATTCGACGTGAAGGGAGGGCCTCAATTGCTAGAAAAAACCCGCAACCCCTTGGAGTTATCCTGCATTTGGAAGAAAAAGTAGAAAAAGGAATAAATATAGTGATGATTTGATTTTTCGTCGTTGAGTAAATAGGGGAGAAAATCGAATTTGTTTATTCCCCTTTTCGAAAAAAGAGAGGAGAAATTCACAGTGACACGTTCGTTAAAAAAATCATTTTGTAGTAAATTCTTTATTAATAAAAATAAATAAGTTTACCATAAAGGCAGAAAAAGAAATCATAGTAAAGTGGTCTCCGTCACCTACCATTATACCACAATGATTGGCCATGCCGTAAAATCGATTTTCGACAAAATGAAAAAGACGTATATGGTAGAATCGTAACCATAGAATACGACCCTAATCGAAATGCGTACATTTGTCTCATACACTATGGGGATGGTGAGAAGAGATATATTTTACATTCCAGAGGGAATATAATTGTATATCAAGAGGATTAGCCCCTATAGGGATTTATCATGCAGTAGATCCTTTAGATTCAATGTCTACTATGCTCCAACCTCAGATTGTCGGAGAGGACCATTATGAAACTGCACAAAGAGTTAAGCAAACTTTACAACGTTACAAAGAACTCTAGGACATTATAGCCAAATGAAATAAAAAATTCGTGTTCGGTTTTGAATGAGAGACGTTAAAAATAATGAATCAACGTCGACTATAACCCCTATCCTTCCAAGCTAATGAAATAAATGTCTTTCAGAAGAAATAAATGTCCACATTAGTACACTTGGTTAACCTTCTTCATTCTACCACTTCAGGTCCCAATCATTGTTATGTCCCTTAGTTAGCTGGGCGTACCATTCTCATGTTCTCGAAAGAAAGTGATTGGACTAGGCTTTCGTCAGTGATCTTTAGCTGAAAGACCAGATCCTTTCTTCTGTTCCTAAAACTGAATTTTTTTTCATTTGATTAGTTGTCACATTCGAAAGGTGAGAAATTGGCTAGTGTGAAGTTTCCTTTTCTGTTTTGGAAGAAAGGTTCACAGAATAGAAAATTGCATAAGAAACGAAAGGGTTCATAGACAGAAGCCCGAAAGACGGTCCTCTGTTCTTGTTCTATAGAAAATTTACGTAAGAGAAGAAACGACTCGAGGAAGAAGTCCCGCCTAACTCCTTGTTAGCAGTGGTAAGACCGGGAGGGGGGGGGGGGGGTGTGTTCTTCAGAATGACTAAAGGGTAAGTTTGAGGTAAATCTGGTTGAAAGTGAAAGTTGCAAAAAACTGGCGAAATACTCTCAAAACCATTTCACGTGAGTGAGACTGAGGAGAGGAGAGTGGAATTTCATGTGTAGGGGTGAAATCTGGAGATCTACGAAGGAATGCCAAAAGCGATGACAACTTTATCTGTCCCTATCGACACTGGGGTGCAAAATCATGGGAGCGATCGACTATTTATTTGATCGCAGACATTTATGGAACACCTCCAAAAGAGGGACAAATGGTCAATTTTGAAAGAACTTATTGTCAACCTCTTTCGAGTATGAATCTATCTGATTCAGAAGGGGAGGGGTCGGGGAATTTTTCTCCCATTCATAGATCAAAAATTCCTAGAGATATTTCCATTATTTATCCATTCTTTCCAATATTTTCTATAAGGGTTGGCCCGTCAAAAGACCGCTTCCTTTGCGAACGAAGTTCAAAATCAACACAGATTCATAGAACGAAGGGAGTGTACAACTGGGGTGCAACCCCACTTTTTGTTCGTAACGAGGGAGAGATGAATTTGAAGATAGATTTAAAGAATCCTCCCATCGTAATTGAAAACATAAATACCTTGTCTAATCATCATGCTAAAAATATAATTTTTTTCTTATTCTAATTTGTTGGGGGAAAACAATTTTATAAACAAACAAAAATGACATGCAATCTGCTTAGGTTAGGCAAACACATGCATTTTAGTTACGAAGATTTGTATTTGGAATTAGGAAATTCTATTATATATTTATTTTATCCCAAATACTTGGGTGAATTTCAAATGCATATCAAATATTTGTTGGTGCTAAAGCTAAATAATATCCGAAGCACTAGTATGCTAGTTACGACTTACTTACGAAAAATAATAACAATTCATCAAGAGTGTAGCCAGTCAGAAACCAACCCTTTCTTTGTCCACGAAGAAGGGAAAATAAAGGGTGGAGAAAAACTAGGAGAATTTGGAGGGTTTGGTTAGCTTGACTACCCCTTTAGTTGGTCTAATTTTCGACATGCCTCTAAGATACCGTCCATATAATTCAATGGTAATGAATAATCAGCTGTTTATTGGATATTAATTACATAATTAGTTTCTCTCACCACATTGGAAAAGGGAAATAATCTGGGGAAAAACGATTCCCACCCCAATTCAAAATTCAATACCTTTTTCGTCTGCCCTTTTTTTTCTCTCCCTTTCGTCTCTTCTTCTCTCCCTCGATTTCCCTCTTCCCCTGCTCCCCGTAGTCGCCTCTTCCACGCCACAATCCATGTTTTTCAGTCTTCAAGGCATCAATAAGATCCTCTCCCTTCGACTCCGTCCCCCATCCTCTGTCGTGGGCTACGTCTTGGATAGTGGTTGCCGCTGTTCTCCAAGAAACACCAGACTTGCCGCCGTGACTCTCCATCTCCTTGCACAAGCTTGCCACTGCGAAGAGATTGATGAAGAAGACGACGACCCTCTTCACCTTATCAGAGAAGACGACGACCCTACTCCCTTTCCCGATGACGAAGACGAAGACGGTGAAGAGTCTGAGGTAGCTCTCTCTCCCCCACTATCTCTCTACCAAACCCAGATATGGGGTTTTCATGAGGTATTAGTACTAGTGGTACACGTTCACGGCAGCGCCGCCGTCTACAAGACACTGTAGGGTTGCACTTCAAGATAAGGAGCGGTAAGAAACGAGTCGCTGTCGCCCTCCATGTACTTCTTCATCTCCGGTGGGTTCTCCAACGGCGACCAGCAGTCCATCCGGCGGTTGAGAGGCAAGTCTGATCTCATCTTCACCTCCCCATCATTCGATGTTGCCACAAAAGCAATCGTCCTTGGCATGCCCAGAATTGACGCGCAAAATCTCGGATCTGTCTTCCTTCCCGCCATGGCCTTCGTCTGCTCGATCTCTAGCAATATCCCTGCGTCATGTCCTCCAGCAGTGAGAAATCTACCAGGAGGGTCAGAGGCGATCCCACCGCGGCGATGCCCGATGGTTTCTGGCAGCCATCGAGTTATGTAGAGTAGAGGGTCGGGTTTCTATTTTTTGGGATGAAAGAATGAGAATATGGGAGCTCAATCGGCACTTTCCCCATCCAACGTGATTTATTCCTTCCCCATGAAAACATAATTATTATGGGAACTTGCCCCATTTGAAAAATTCCAGGAAAAAAACCCCTTCCATTAATACGTACCTTAAGATTCGGTTTGAAATGGATGGCTGATGGTTGGGGATTGAGGTGTCAAAAACCAGACCCCTTTGAAGGTAGACATTTTATCTCATCCCGAATTTGTAAGAAATTAGAACTTTTTTCTTGTTCATAAGGTTTGCTACAATAGTGATTATTTGGGGGGAAATTTCACTATAACAGTTGCTCAACCATTGGTTCTTATTGGGTCTCCTTTCCCCTAAGTTTCTCCTCATTTCTCTCTTCAAAACTGAACACTACTTTCCCCTCATTATTTCACTCTCTCTAAATTTTCCTTCCCCTCCCCAATTTTCTCCCCCTTATTTCGTGAACAAAGCACAAGTGATGCCATGTTCGTCAAGATTCAATCAATGCTAAAGTGATTCGGGTCTAATTGTACATGTTTGCCCCCGTTTTACTTTGGTGTTTGTGCCAAATTCACTCCTAAAAGGTTGGTTTTACGCTAGGTTCCTCGTGTTTTAGTGTGTTTCAGGATTTAACAGATGAAACCAGCCTCAGA